GTTTTAGCCCCTTCAATCCCTTTTCGATATATATAGGAATAGGAAGGAAGGAGATTACATGCTGAAATGGGCAATGGATTCAGAAAAATGTGCATTTCCTGTGTTGCTCACAGTCTAAAAATACACTATATGGCGAAAAGTATGTTGTCAGCCGACCATCACATTTACCTATACGCCAGAAGTATGTGAACATCTGACCATCACACCTACTATATGGCCAAAAAATTAGGACACCTGACCATCAAACCTACCTACATGGCCAGGAGTATGTGGACACTTGACTATCACGCCTACCTACATGGCCAGGAGTATGTGGACACTTGACTATCACGCCTACCTACATGGCCAGGAGTATGTGGACACTTGACTATCACGCCTACCTACATGGCCAGGAGTATGTGGACACTTGACTATCACGCCTACCTACATGGCCAGGAGTATGTGGACACTTGACTATCACGCCTACCTACATGGCCAGGAGTATGTGGACACTTGACTATCACGCCTACCTACATGGCCAGGAGTATGTGGACACTTGACTATCACGCCTACCTACATGGCCAGGAGTATGTGGACACTTGACTATCACGCCTACCTACATGGCCAGGAGTATGTGGACACTTGACTATCACGCCTACCTACATGGCCAGGAGTATGTGGACACTTGACTATCACGCCTACCTACATGGCCAGGAGTATGTGGACACTTGACTATCACGCCTACCTACATGGCCAGGAGTATGTGGACACTTGACTATCACGCCTACCTACATGGCCAGGAGTATGTGGACACTTGACTATCACGCCTACCTACATGGCCAGGAGTATGTGGACACTTGACTATCACGCCTACCTACATGGCCAGGAGTATGTGGACACTTGACTATCACGCCTACCTACATGGCCAGGAGTATGTGGACACTTGACTATCACGCCTACCTACATGGCCAGGAGTATGTGGACACTTGACTATCACGCCTACCTACATGGCCAGGAGTATGTGGACACTTGACTATCACGCCTACCTACATGGCCAGGAGTATGTGGACACTTGACTATCACGCCTACCTACATGGCCAGGAGTATGTGGACACTTGACTATCACGCCTACCTACATGGCCAGGAGTATGTGGACACTTGACTATCACGCCTACCTACATGGCCAGGAGTATGTGGACACTTGACTATCACGCCTACCTACATGGCCAGGAGTATGTGGACACTTGACTATCACGCCTACCTACATGGCCAGGAGTATGTGGACACTTGACTATCACGCCTACCTACATGGCCAGGAGTATGTGGACACTTGACTATCACGCCTACCTACATGGCCAGGAGTATGTGGACACTTGACTATCACGCCTACCTACATGGCCAGGAGTATGTGGACACTTGACTATCACGCCTACCTACATGGCCAGGAGTATGTGGACACTTGACTATCACGCCTACCTACATGGCCAGGAGTATGTGGACACTTGACTATCACGCCTACCTACATGGCCAGGAGTATGTGGACACTTGACTATCACGCCTACCTACATGGCCAGGAGTATGTGGACACTTGACTATCACGCCTACCTACATGGCCAGGAGTATGTGGACACTTGACTATCACGCCTACCTACATGGCCAGGAGTATGTGGACACTTGACTATCACGCCTACCTACATGGCCAGGAGTATGTGGACACTTGACTATCACGCCTACCTACATGGCCAGGAGTATGTGGACACTTGACTATCACGCCTACCTACATGGCCAGGAGTATGTGGACACTTGACTATCACGCCTACCTACATGGCCAGGAGTATGTGGACACTTGACTATCACGCCTACCTACATGGCCAGGAGTATGTGGACACTTGACTATCACGCCTACCTACATGGCCAGGAGTATGTGGACACTTGACTATCACGCCTACCTACATGGCCAGGAGTATGTGGACACTTGACTATCACGCCTACCTACATGGCCAGGAGTATGTGGACACTTGACTATCACGCCTACCTACATGGCCAGGAGTATGTGGACACTTGACTATCACGCCTACCTACATGGCCAGGAGTATGTGGACACTTGACTATCACGCCTACCTACATGGCCAGGAGTATGTGGACATCTGACCATCACACCTACTATATGGCCAAAAAATTAGGACACCTGACTATCACACCTTCCTACATGGCCAGGAGTATGTGGACATCTGACCATCACACCTACCTACATGACCAGGAGTATGTGGACATCTGACTATCACACCTACCTACATGGCAAGGAGTATGTGGACATCTGACTATCACACCTACCTACATGACAAGGAGTATGTGGACACCTGACTATCACACCTACCTACATGGCCAGGAGTATGTGGACACCTGACTATCACACCTACCTACATGGCCAGGAGTATGTGGACATCTGACTATCACACCTATCTACATGGCCAGGAGTATGTGGACATCTGACTATCACACCTACCTACATGGCGAGGAGTATGTGGACATCTGGACTATCACACCTACCTACATGGCCAGGAGTATGTGAACATCTGACCATCACACCTAGTATATGGCCAAAAAATTAGGACACCTGACTATCACACCTACCTACATGGCCAGGAGTATGTGGACATCTGACCATCACACCTACCTACATGACCAGGAGTATGTGGACATCTGACTATCACACCTACCTACATGGCAAGGAGTATGTGGACATCTGACTATCACACCTACCTACATGGCAAGGAGTATGTGGACACCTGACTATCACACCTACCTACATGGCCAGGAGTATGTGGACACCTGACCATCACACCTACCTACATGACCAGGAGTATGTGGACATCTGACTATCACACCTACCTACATGGCAAGGAGTATGTGGACATCTGACTATCACACCTACCTACATGGCAAGGAGTATGTGAACATCTGACTATCACACCTACCTACATGGCAAGGAGTATGTGGACACCTGACTATCACACCTACCTACATGGCCAGGAGTATGTGGACACCTGACCATCACACCTACCTACATAGCCAGGAGTATGTGGACACCTGGCCATCACATCCACCTACATGGCCATGAGCATGTGGACACCTGACCATTGCACCTACCCACATGGCCAGAAGTATTTGAACACCCTTTTCAGGCGTCTCCAGTGAGGATTCAGTTAATGCTCCAGCATACACAGACATTGTAGAGAATTGAGCTCTTCCAGCCTTGTGGTGACATTTTGGGGAAGGTCCTTTTCTGTTCCACCATGACTGTCCCCTGTGTACGAAGCCAACCCCATAAAGACATGGTGGGACCAGTTTGGTGTGGAGGAATTCGAGCACAGATCCCTGACCTAAACCCTACTGAGCACCTTGGGATGAATTGGAAGGCCATCTGTGAGCGGGGACTTTTCATCCAACATCAGTATCTGACCTCACAAATGGGCACAAATTTTCCAAAATCTCACGGAAAGCCTCCATATTAATGCGTCTGGGTTTGTAATGGAAACTCTAACAAGTTCGTATAGGTGTGATGGTTAGGTGTCCACTTTTGGCCATTAGTATACTTCTGGTTGAAGACCTAATACTTTCATGTCTTGTTCATTTTCATAGTAGATGTGCCTAAAAAAAATATTTATAAGCTAACAGTTTTGTTTTTTTATTTCAGATGCCTTCCAAGACACATTTTACCCATATGACGTAGTCAACGTTTCAGAGGGTGTGTTATCAATGATAAATTGGAGGTACACTAAGTTTATCCCATCCGTCCATACCGTTGTGTTCCTTGTGGCTCTTCCCCTCAATATCATGGCGATCGTCACGTTCCTGGTGAAGATGAAGATCAGGAGCCCGGCGACTGTGTACATGTTGAACTTGGCTACAGCAGATGTCCTCTTCGTTAGCGTCCTGCCTTTCCTCGTCGTCTACCGATTCTCAGGAAATAACTGGCTGTTCGGAGAAGGAATGTGTCGCTTTGTCACGGCAACATTTTACTGTAACATGTACTGCTCCATCCTGCTCATGACCAGTATCAGCGTGGACCGTTTCCTGAACCTACCTACATGGCCAGGAGTATGTGGACACCTGACCATCACACCTACCTACATGACCAGGAGTATGTGGACATCTGACTATCACACCTACCTACATGGCAAGGAGTATGTGAACATCTGACTATCACACCTACCTACATGGCAAGGAGTATGTGGACACCTGACTATCACACCTACCTACATGGCCAGGAGTATGTGGACACCTGACCATCACACCTACCTACATAGCCAGGAGTATGTGGACACCTGGCCATCACATCCACCTACATGGCCATGAGCATGTGGACACCTGACCATTGCACCTACCCACATGGCCAGAAGTATTTGAACACCCTTTTCAGGCGTCTCCAGTGAGGATTCAGTTAATGCTCCAGCATACACAGACATTGTAGAGAATTGAGCTCTTCCAGCCTTGTGGTGACATTTTGGGGAAGGTCCTTTTCTGTTCCACCATGACTGTCCCCTGTGTACGAAGCCAACCCCATAAAGACATGGTGGGACCAGTTTGGTGTGGAGGAATTCGAGCACAGATCCCTGACCTAAACCCTACTGAGCACCTTGGGATGAATTGGAAGGCCATCTGTGAGCGGGGACTTTTCATCCAACATCAGTATCTGACCTCACAAATGGGCACAAATTTTCCAAAATCTCACGGAAAGCCTCCATATTAATGCGTCTGGGTTTGTAATGGAAACTCTAACAAGTTCGTATAGGTGTGATGGTTAGGTGTCCACTTTTGGCCATTAGTATACTTCTGGTTGAAGACCTAATACTTTCATGTCTTGTTCATTTTCATAGTAGATGTGCCTAAAAAAAATATTTATAAGCTAACAGTTTTGTTTTTTTATTTCAGATGCCTTCCAAGACACATTTTACCCATATGACGTAGTCAACGTTTCAGAGGGTGTGTTATCAATGATAAATTGGAGGTACACTAAGTTTATCCCATCCGTCCATACCGTTGTGTTCCTTGTGGCTCTTCCCCTCAATATCATGGCGATCGTCACGTTCCTGGTGAAGATGAAGATCAGGAGCCCGGCGACTGTGTACATGTTGAACTTGGCTACAGCAGATGTCCTCTTCGTTAGCGTCCTGCCTTTCCTCGTCGTCTACCGATTCTCAGGAAATAACTGGCTGTTCGGAGAAGGAATGTGTCGCTTTGTCACGGCAACATTTTACTGTAACATGTACTGCTCCATCCTGCTCATGACCAGTATCAGCGTGGACCGTTTCCTGGCCGTGATCTACCCGGTGCGGTCTCTCCCCTGGCGCACAGTGAAGCGAGCCTGGCTGGTGTGTGGCGTCATCTGGGTCATCTCACTGGCCGGCGCTGTGCCTCTACTTCTAGCTAGACAAACCTTTTTTATCTATGATCTGAATGCCACAACATGTTACGACGTGCAGGACACGGAGGATCTGCGCGGATTCTATTTTTACTTTTTTACCTCTCTTTTATCTCTTTTCTTTTTCTTACCTTTGGCGGTGACAACTTTTTGTTACGTTAGAACCATCCGTAGCCTCAGTGCAATGAACACGAATCGCACGCGCAAAAGGTCGCGAGCCGTCTACCTGGCCGCGATTGTGCTTTGCGTGTTTGTCCTTTGTTTCGGCCCGACCAATGTCCTCCATTTAATTTATTACCTTCAGATGTATGAATTTGCCGATGACTCGCTGTATGACGCCTACCTCCTCTCTTCTACTATCTGCAGCTTCAGCTGTTGTCTGGATCCTCTTATCTATTTCTTTGCCTCCTCCCAGTGTCAGAGGTGCGTCTACAGCTTGCTGCGCCGTAAAAAAATGAATCTCCCACCAGGAGGACAACACTCGGTCCTTACAGGCCATGAGGAATATACACACGTGACCTATTCTCGGGAAGAGACTTGCTGAAACCTCCCCAAGGCCAAGGTGATGGCCAAAGAGCTGTAGACCATGATGGCCAACACAAATTTAACTGGATACAGATCAATTCTGTATCCAGGGTTGTGTTGGATCTGTATTGAGGGATCAATTCTGATTGGTTGCTGTGGCTTATTGTACTTTATGATTGCTTTTTGCCTAATTCAGTTATTAGCTGACAACTGACGAGTTAGAAGTTCGAGTTAAGAACTGTACAAATTATGTAAGTGCTACAGAATTGGGGATCTATATATAAGCAACGTTTCGGAAACCAAATCGGTTCCTTCATCAGGAGAAAAATCACTTTGTTTGCCTGATGAAGGAACTTATTTGGTTCTGAAACGTTGCTTTTCAATGTGATGATATGTCGGGGTAGTGCGCGCAGGTGTCCCCACACCGCATGCAGGTACCCACTCAGGAGGACCAAATTAGTATGACCACACTAGACAAGGTCAACAACACCACCAACACCCACAAGCAAGCACAGGTAAGTAAAGTAACCAACTAAATATAACCACAAACACATACAAAAGATAACATAATTATCTAAACCAGGAGCAAATAGCTGAATGCACACCCAGGGTATACAAGCCAGGTAAACCTGGGGAGCAGGGCAAGACCAAGGGTCAAGGTACAGGCAGGACTCAGGACTGCAAGCAGGTAACAGGACTCAGGACTGCAAGCAGGTAACAGGACTCAGGGCTCACTCATGAAATGGCGACAAGCTCAGGGCACAGGACTCAGTCAGGGAAAGGCGACAGGATACTGAGCCCCAATCCTGATTGCAGGGAGGGATTAAATACCCTTCCCAGGAAGCACCAGGTGATGGCTAAGTACTGGCAGCTGGGAGACACCCGCAGGTGACCACTGGAGTCGCAGGTTCCAGCACCACCCAGCGGTGGTCTGGTACCTGACAGTTCCTGGCTGCCTGGAGACACCTGCAGGCGAGCGTGGGAACTGCAGGACCTGGTTCCAGCGCCACCGGGAGGTGCTCTGGATCCTGACATGATATGATTATCCAAGATCAATAAAGACAGAATGGTAGAGTGAATATTGTAGTGCTGGTGACTTTTTCTCATTACTAATTATGTGCAGGCGCCATCCGCTGTCACTGCAGCGCCCGCTGGCGAATCACGGGTTTACATCGCCCAGGCGTGTGACGGGACTTCTACCGTGTTTCCCCAAAAATAAGACACTGTCTTATATAATTTTTGCCCCCAAAAAACACACTAGGTCTTATTTTAAGGGGGATATCTTATTTTTTTTTTTTTTAACCTCTTGCCATCCGCCCGTTAAGAAAAAAACGGACGGACGGCTGACTCCTATCTGACAATCCAAAAGCTATCTGGTATCACTCCGCCTGTCACAGTAACCGGCGCTATAGAGTAAGTATCAGCTAATGCGTCTCTGCTTTCTACAGCGCCGGCTTCTTTTGCCATCAGGGACAGTGGTACCAGCGGTGCAGCAGTGAGGACATCAGACAGTGGACAGTACAGTACCATTACATTAAGCAGTGCCTTCAGGGGGACAGCAGTTGGTGTAGTATGGTACTGGAGTGCTCCCTCTCACTGCACTGGCCGGAGGGAGTCCCCTGTCATCCCCTTATACAGTGTGTCCCTGCAGGCTGATACCATCTCTCCTGCTCTTCAAGTTCCCCCTCACATGCTACCACCAAACTAGATCTTACTTTTGGGGTAGGTCTTATTTTCGGGGAAACAGGGTATGCGTTTGATTTATAAACCATTCAGACTGCAAACAGCTCTGTAAATGAGATTCACAATGCACTGTGACCACTAGATGGAGCTAAGGAGCATACTCCTACCTTCCCATCTCCATTTCGTTGCCACGATCTCATTCGCTGAGCTATTCGCTTTGTGAATAGTTTATAAATCATCCTCAAAGTTTACGATAATCAGCCCTAATCAATGATTAATTATCGCCTCCAATTCTCCCCTCAGCTTATGTGTTAAAGTGACATTAAAGGCAGATTTTTTTTTGCCTCAACACAACGTTAATGTCGGCACTTACTTTAAATGATGTCTCTTAATCCGATCTTCTTCTTCTTTCCTGTCGTTTTCATCTGTCCCTCCAGCGCTGCGGCGGGTCTCCGATCCAGCGCTGACTCCTCTGTCCTTGCTTGCGCTTCCTCTCCCACGCAGGGGCGTAACTAGAAATCACAGGGCCCCATAGCAAAATTCTGTATGGGGCCCCGTGATTGCTAGTCATGCCACTTGCAGAGCTCCAGCGGAGAGTGACCCTGCAGAGCCCGCCATAGACTCTCTATAGTGGGCTCTGCAGGATCTGAGATCTCTTACCTGTCAGCGCCTCTGTGGTCGCCGGGCCCCGACTCCTGTTCCGTCCCCGGGCCCCGCCTCCTCTGCTATCGACGGGCCCCGCCTTCTCTTACATCACTGGCCCCACCTGCTCTTAGGTCGCTGGCCAGTGACGTAAGAGGAGGCGGGCCC